CAGGTGGCACGCCCACGCAGCCACCACCGACTGATTGGAGGTCACTTGCGGACGCCGCTGCAAACATACCCAACACTCTGTACGTCTCCAGAGCAGGTAAGATGTGATTATTGCCTGGTGTGGAAGTATAATATAATTTATAGCCTTCCCACTTTCTAATTTCTAGTCTTAGAATTATTCTGTTATCTATATTTATGACGATGATGATAATTATGTTTACCTTTGAAGAAGGAAAACATATTATTTGAGCTCTAGCCGTTCCGTTTTGCTCTTCTTCTCCAAACAAAAAAATTCAATGACCTGGACCAGACGTCTGTCACCATGGTAACTAGTGCTACAGCAAACAAACACCTTGTGGTGTTGGATTACATCATGTAGCAGGACTGAACTATAGATGCTGCTTGATATATGATATATATGGATATTTTTGAGTAACAATGAACAGATCAGTAGCTTATTAGGGTAGACCATTTAAAAGTAAACATTATGCATTTGCTTTGAACATGGTACCATTCCAGTAATTCATTTTTTCGCTTCGATATTCTATATATTACTACAATTACATATGTATCTAATAGAAAACATGCTTTCCATGTCTACCCTACCTTTACCCCTGTGGTTAATAAACTCAATCATGTTTCTTCCTTTAGACGCGACTTACGCTGCAGATGCTAACAGCAGGAAGAAGAAATGTTTGGGCCTGTGCAAGAAGCTGTGGCAATGGACCATTGCTGTGTTCGTCGTGGCCAATGCTATACTGCTGCCATATTTTGCAGGTCAGGTACCTTATCAAAAAGCAAAGTTGTTTCATTCACGGGTCTAGATATTACCTTGTCAAAAAGTAAGGTGTTACTGGTTCATTGTGCTCTGAAGCTAGGTGTTACTGGTTCATTGTGCACTGAAGCTAGGTGTATGTGTTACTGGCTCACTGTGCACTTAAGCTATGTGTAACTGGGTCACTGTGTACTGAAGCTAGGTGTTACTGGCTCACTGTGCACTATGAAGCTATGTGTTAGTGGTTAACTGTACACTGAAGCTAGGTGTTACTGGTTCACTGTGTAATGAAGCTAGGTGTTAGTGGTTCACTGTGCACTGGAGCAAGGTGCAATTACGGGTTCACTGTGTATAATATCAGAGCAAGCCGTCTTTTTTTGGGTTTATGGATTTTGTGCAACCGGTTATTTTCTAAACAGTTAAAACCACGATGTTAACTGAAGAGTTTGCCAAACTGAACATGTACAGGAAGACTGAATTGCTGAATCGTGAGCTGAATCGTGAGTAAACTACACTGATGTCATTTGGATTTTATCGTATAAGACCTTATTCATCTTGTATGCCGATCCGTGTTTGTCTTGGTTTATTGTTCAATGAAGTTAGGTGTTACGGTGCAATAATACGGTGTTGGGCTATCTTATGGGTTTATGGATTTGGTGCAACCGTTTTTTTTCTAAACAGTTAAAACCACGATGTTAGCTGAAGAGGTTGCCAAACTGAACAGGAAGACTGAGTCGCGACTTTCTGAGCTGAATCGTGAGTAAAATTCACTAATGTCATTTGCAAAAGATTCTGTACCGCATAAGAGGTTATCAATTTGTATACTGATCCAATTGATATTGGTTTACTGGGCACTGAAGCTTGGTGTTACGGTGCAATAATACGGTGTTGCGGTGTGACAGAACCATGAAGCTCACGGCCACAACACCAGACCTAGACTGCTGCCGTCATCTTTAGAGATGCCTACTACTATACTACATTTATCTGCAGCATAAAATAGAGCGAGAATAGGGCTCAAAGTTCAGATATCATTGGTTGTTATTAATATATACATATAATAGCATAACAAGCCGCCATATCCACTACCCAAAGCAAAGTATTTGTTGGGCCTGATGTCTTTGCTAAAGGGTGTGTTCTTATGGGTTTATTCTTATGCACTTATTGCAACCGGTTCTTATCGAAACAGTTAAAACCACGAAGTTAGCTGAAGAGGTTGCCAAACTGAACAGGAAGACTGAATTGCGACTTTCTGAGCTGAATCGTGAGTAAAGTGCAGTTAATGTCATTTGTAAACAATTTTGCACTGTATAAGAGCTTATCATTCTGTATGCTGTTCAAATTGATATTGTTTGCATTGGTTCACAGCATCCTTCATTCCTATACGGTGTTCTTTGGTATTGTATCTATTGCAATAATCAGATGATCCCACTATCACAAAAGCTTATGTCACTGACTCACTGGTCATCGTCGAGAACGACGAACGAACGAACAACAACAACAACAATAACAATAATCATGCAATAATTGTCTCATGCAATAATTGAAATTATTTGAAACCGTTCTGCCATGGAGTAGAGGTTCAGCGTGCACTAGTAGGGCTGAGGTGTAGTCAGTGTACTGACTACACCTCGTTTCTGCTGTCGTTCCAGTTTTGGAACTAAACCATTCTTTTTATGTCAGGTTTTCCTGGACCACCTGGAGAAAGGGGAGCCATGGAAGCGCCCGGACTTGCGGGGAAAATGGGACCAGTAGGGCCGACTGGACCTGGGTCTGTGGGGCCCGCTGGCCCCACAGGAGAAAAGGGGCCCATGGGGCCTGCCGGCCCTGCGTCTGCCGGGCCTCCTGGGCCACCTGGCCCTTTCGGAGAAAAGGGGCCCATGG